TACTGGGCTGTGGGTGCAGCTCTGGCTGGCTTGGTTCTCCCCCTGATCCTGACCGTCAGAGGTCCAGCTCATGGAGTCCCATGGCTGCCTGGGCTCCGGCCCAGCCATCTGGTAATGCTGGAAGCCTTGTCCACCCTCTGCAGGACCCCCTGGGGGTCATCTTCCCAGGCTCCCTCCATTTGATTGAGCGCATTTCAGCAGCTTCCCAAGAAAGGGTCCTGTGGAAGCAGCCTGAGGAGCCCATGTGTCCTGCTGTGGTCACTCTGCTTAGGTTCTAGGCAACATGTTTCTCAGTCACTCTGGCTCTCAGGACAGGCACTGCTGTCCTACTTTCCCTGCAGATTGCCTTTTCTTCACGGCAAGCTTTGAGATCAGTGCCTGTTCTGGAGTTGGATGTCCTTGGTCCTGGAGGGGCGCTGTGTGTTGGGGATCTCTCTCCTCTAATTCCTTCTCTTTGGAGTGCCTGGCAGTCATCCCTTAGGTCTCTTGGGCTAATGTTCCCATTCCCTGTAATATTTTCTATCTAGTTTTCTTATTTTGAGAGTTTTCTCTTTTTCTAGCTGAGGGATTGGACCTGGTGCTCTACAAACTAAGCTACACCCCAGCCCTCTGTATTACCTGCTAAGTTGTGGAGTCTGGCCTCGGACATGCCATTGTCCTGCCTCAGCCTCCAGAGTGGCTGGGATTGTGGGCATGTGCCACTGCATGTGGCTCTACAAAGACTTGGGCTTCTGCTTTTAGGTTTCTGTTTGTTGCTGATTTTCTGTTTGTGCTTCCCGTGGGCAGCTCTCCTTGGGTGCTGGTCATCCTGGACCAGGCACTGGCTGGAGGGTGGGATGGGCAGCCTGAACAGCAGTCTTTCAGTCTCCTGCCCAGGGGATGCCATCCTGCAGCCAGGTGGAGAGGAGCTTGGTCTTGTGCTGGGAGACATGGGCCTGCCTTGGCTCTTGGCAAGTGGGGTCCCATCTGGTTCCTTGATTTGATTAGGTTTGTCAGGGCTGTGCCTTCACCACCCTCCCTTGGGGCATCCGTGTTTCTGGGGTGGGTGCTAGGTCTGTCCCACTGCATCCCATTTCTTTGAACCTACAAGCCTCTGTCCACCCATCACCTTGTCCCAGTTCTCCTGTGCAGCCCCCTGGCCTTGGTACTGACTCCTCTGACCCAGTGGGCTCTGGTATCTCTCCATCCTTGATTGGGGCATCTACCCAGGACCTGCTCAAGGCTGGGACTTGGGAACAACTTCACCCAGAGTCCTGGTCTGTGGGCCAGGGCCTCCAGTGCCCTCTTGTGGGCCATGGGACACTGGGCATGCCTGTTCTGAACGCTGCCTGTGCCCCTGCTCAGGCTGGGCGAGTGCAATGTGACCGACAGTGGCTGTGACACCCTTGCTACGGCTCTGCTGGTCAACCGCAGCCTGCGGGAGCTGGACCTGAGCAACAACTGCGTGGGGGACCCTGGCATACAGCGGCTGGTGGAGAGTCTCCGGCAGCCTGGCTGTGTCTTGGAACAGCTGGTGTAAGTGGCCAAGTGCTAGGGGGTCCGGGGCTCAGGAGCAGCGGGGGAAGGCCGGGCGGTGGGTGCTCTGGTTCACTCCCTCCTTTCTGCCCACGTGCAGCCTGTATGACATCTACTGGACTGAGGAGATGGAAGAGCAGCTGCGGACCTTGGAGGAACACAAGCCGTCCCTGAGGGTCATCTCCTGAGTTCCTGCTTGCGGTTTCTGAAATCTTCCTGGACACCGCATCCTGAGTCCATGCTGGGGCTCTTACTCCTGGTGTCCTGGCTTTGACTGGGAAGAAATGCCCTAACCCACTACTTCAGCAAGAGAGCTTGAGACCCTGCATAGTTATTAAAGCACTTGTTGGCAGGAGGATCCTTGTCCTTCCTTGTGGGTCCCGTGTGGCTTGCAGCTGCTGAGAATGCCCTGTTCACACACGGTGCCCTGAGCAGGGTACAGGCTGCCAAAGGACCCCACAGGCTAGGTGGCCAGGCCAGGCCCAGGAACCTCATCACCCTTGCCTCACCATGTTCGTTGTCAACAAGAAGCCCGAGTCCTGCCCACATTGAGGGGATCTGGCACGGGCACTGTTGAGATCCCAGGGGGGCTAGGAGTGCTCAGTGGAAGAGCAGAGCTCTGCAGGGGTCAGACCTTGGGTTTGATCTCTATAGTGTTACGGAAGAAGGAAAGAAGTCCCTCAAGATGCCAAGCACAGTGGCACAGGCCTTGAGGCCAGCCTCGGCAACTTACCAAGATCCTCTTCCCCAAAAGGCCTGGGGATGCAGCTCAGTGGTAGCACACTCCTGGTACCAAAAGAAATCCACCCTCCCAGCCGAAGGAATCCTAGGGGCTTTCTCAGTGAATTAAAGTCGCGTTACCTGGGGGAGCCGGCTGGAAACAGGCGTGTGCAGGGCCAGAGGTGGCAGAGCAGAGCAGCTCTGCCTCCAGCGTCACTTCCGCCTGGTCTGTGGCCGTATGAGTGTGGGGGGAATCTCCAGCTTGGGCAGCTCGAGGCAGCGCCCATGCTGGTGTCCATCAGATTGTGCAACTCGCAAGAGCAGCACCATACAGAAAACAGGAGTGGATGTGTCTCCAAGGAGCCAAACAGGACAAAGCCTCTTGCCTCACACAAGGCTTCAAGTGTGGCTGCTAGCTGCACAGACCAGCTCCTGGCACCCACAGCCATTCCTGCAATGCACCTTTTCATGTGCTCCGTTTTTAGTTTTTAAAGGTCAGGATTGTCCACAACTTGGTGTGGTGGTTTGTCTTCACATGACTTCAATATGTAGGTACAGACTGTATTTCCCTAATTTTTGCTCCATGCAGACACTTCCACAATATTGACTGTGTAAGCATTGTGTGTTGCCAAAATAAAAGCAAAGAGTTCTTTCTGAACTTCTAGGCTCTTTGGGCAACTGCATGTACAGTGGATTTCCACTATGGTTTGTGAATGATTTGGTTAGCAGGAGGCTGAGGCAGGAAGATGGCAAATTTGAGGCCAGCCTCAGCAACTTACCAAGAACCTGCCTCTTAAATAATTTAAAAAAGGGCTGCAACATACTTCAGTGGTAGGAGCATTCACCTCACATGTGCAAGACCCTAGGTTCAAGCTCCAGCACCCCACCCCCCAAAAAAACCCCCTTTAAAATGTAAACAAAGGCCAGGTGCAGTGATGCATGCCTATAATCCCAGCGACTTAGTGAGAGCCCGTCTTAAAATGAAAACGCAACACGAGGGGGCTGGGGATGTGGCTCAAGCGGTAGCGCGCTCGCCTAGCATGCGTGCGGCCCGGGTTCGATCCTCAGCAGCACCACATACCAACAAAGATGTTGTGTCCGCCGAGAACTAAGAAAAAAAAACTAAGAAAAAAATAAATGTTAAAACTCTCTCTCTCTCTCTGTCCCCCTCTCTCACTCTCTCTAAAAAAAAAAAAAAAAAAAACCTTTAAAAAAAAAAAAAAAACGCAACACGATGGGGATGTAGCTCAGTGGTAGAGTACACCTGGGTTAAGCCCCTAGTACTGAAGAAGGAAAAAGGCTTAAGATTTTTCTTGGGGGGGCAGGGGTGGTGCACAGTTGTGCCCTTGAGGGCACTCTCACCAAACCACATCCCCTCTTGTGTATTTTCTTCAGAAACGGGGCTTCGTTGAGTTGCTCAGCACCTCGCTTTTACCGAGGCTGGCTTTGAACTCGTGATCTTCCCGCCCCGGGCTTCTGGGGTCCCACTGTGCGCCACCGCACCGGGTTTACTTTGAGTATTCTGATCTTTTGGGATCTAATACCTCAGGAGCCTGCTCTCGGATGCTGGCGGTCTACTTGGCTCTGCTGTCGGACAAGCCACGTGTGGGCTGGGAACCCGCGCAGGGTTTCTGTAAGGGAGCTGCCCCCTGGGCTAGGCCTTGGAACTGCTGGCCCTGATGTTCCCACTGAGCCTGACCCCACTTGACCCCGTGCCCAGATTGTCAGCTCTCACTGCTGCCTCCTGGGTAGGACAGTGGGGGCCACCCCTCAATTCCAGCTGGCCAGAGGTGACCCACCCTGACCATGTTGAGACAGGGAGACTGCTCATGTGGTCTGTGGCACACTTGACTGGGAAGCAATTTGGGATTGCTACTATAAAACCCTTTAAGGGGCCCGGGATCTGTGACTGCCCCAGACATCAGGGCTCCTGGAGAGATGTGGCCTAGCCTCCTGCAGCCCTGACAGTGAAGAGGTGCAGAGCTGGGGGGCTGTCCAGGGCAGCAGCCAACACTGGTGCAGGGAGCATCGGGGGACGGAGGTTTATCACAGGTCCCGGTGGGAAGGGGCATCAGTGCACAGGGATCCCCAGGGACCCATGGGGGGGGGGTCCTTGCAGTGGAAACAGCTCTCAGGAACCTCGAGCGACATGCGTGAGCAGAAGGTGGCAGTGGCAGTGTCCCTGGGAGGTCGCTGTGCAGGCCTGAGACAACATGAGGTCCAGTGGCACCCACTGGGCCACTCCAGAAGGCTTGTCCTCTAGTGTCTAGGGTGAGGCCTGTGTGCATGCGATTCTGCCTGCACAGCTTCTGGAGGGTTGAAATTTTCCCAAAAATGGTGAGCAAAAAGACTCAAAAGGCCTTGGAAGCCAGGGCACTGGATGGTGCACACTTAGCTGATGCTTGCCTCCTGGAGGCAGGTCCTGCTGTGCACCCTGCCAGGCACCTCCCAGTGCCCACTACAGAAGAGGCTGGGTGGGGGTCGCAGTGTCCTGTGGAGAATGGGGCAGGCCGGGCACTGCTCAGTGGCAGAGCATTTGGTGTGGGGGGTGTGAGGTTCTGGGTTCTGTCCCCAGCACAGCAGGAAATAGCTTCAAATTTTTTAGACACCAGCCTGAGAGGATAGCTGCCCGTCTTCTGCAGCCACTCCCCAGCAGTCACGAGCCCTGCCCCTATGACACACACAGCTGCTGGACTCTCCAGATCCCCAGGAGGGCTGTGCCCGCAGGCCCTGTACCCTCTGGGTTAGCAGGGAGGAGCACGGGCTTCCACCTCCACGGTCACTTTATTTGTTCTGTTTGCTCGCAGAGACAACACCCCCCCAAAAAAAGTGCCTGGGGCCCCAGAGCCTCCCACTGGCAGGTCCCACGACCTCTGACCCTGCCATGTCCTGCTGAGAGTTGGGACGGGGCGAAGGCTCAGAGGAAGCACTCGATGCTGCTGTCCGTCCACGACTTGGTCATCCTGTGTTGGTGGACCTCTCTCTCCCCTGGGTCACCAGGAGGATGGGCAGCCCTGCCCATACTCAGTGAGTGGACACAGGTCCCCAAGTGGCCTGTGCTGGGCCGTGCTGCCAGGCACAAGTGTGTCAAGCCAGAGCCCTGGAAGACCAGGCAGCAGGGGAAGGGCGGGACCCCCTGCCCAGAGCAAGCCCTGGGGGAGCCCAGGACCCCAGTGCAGAGTGGAATGAATGGCCCTCAGTCCTCCTCCCCTGGAGGGCGAGGCCCTGGGCAGGCAGGCACTCAGGAGGTGGTGGAGGGCCCCTCCTTCCCAGCCAGCACCCTCTGCTCAGAGGCCCCTTCCTGGGCAGCTCCTGATCCAGGCAGGTCATCGTCTGTCCCCGGGTGCCCGTCCCCGTGGCCAACAGCCCTGCCCTGGTCACTCCGCTGCTTCTGCCGCCGGGTCTCCTTGTACCTTAAGGTGATGTCCCTGGGGGACAACAGAGGCCAGGTCACCACTGCTCACACACCAACACCCAGAGCAGGCCTCACAGACCCCTAGGCAGCCTTCGCCAGGAGGAAGCCACATGGGACACAACTCTTGGAGGGGCTGGGTAAGGGCCATGGCACGGCAGGCCGGGCCACCTGGATTCTCAGGAGCCAGACCTTCCACATGAGGATGGATCTACAGTGATGGGGGGGCATGGGGTTTGCCCCAGAGCCATCTTCTCCAGATGACCTGAGGAATGGGCAGGCACAGACCCTGGCCACCTCAGCAAAGCAAGAGGTGACAGACATCACCCATAGCCAACCCCCGTGGCCCTGGAGCCAGGCAGACAGCCCATGCCGCTGCTCACCGCAGGAAGAAGCGCCAGACGGTCCAGGTGAGCACCAGGACGGAGCCCAGCGTCCAGCACTGGGAGATGTAGAAGGGCAGGGACAGGGTCAGCGTGTGTGGGTCGTACTTCACCACGATCAGCAGCTCTGTGGCTGTGATGGCTGCCGCCAGCCAAGCCTGCTGGCCCAGCTTCTTATGGGGCTTCCTGTGGAGAAGATGGCAGCTGGCCAGGCCTGCCCAGGCATCAGGCCTCCCCCACCCCAGGGGTGCCTCCCGGCCTCGGCCCGGCAGGCGGCCCTCACAGGTCATCCATGAAATCGTAGATCTCACGCATGGCCACGCCACCCACGTTCACGAAGAAGACCAGTCGTAGCAGAACCAGGTAGTGCTCGGGGGGCATCCACAGCACGAACTTCAGGTAGAAGGTGTTCAGCTCTGCCAGCAGGAACTGGGGGACAGGGAGGGTCAGGCTGCGCAGGACACTGGCCATGCACACCCTCAGCAGCCCAGCCTTACCACCAGGATGATGCCACACACGGCCAGCCAGCGGCGCAGGCTGGAGGCAGGCTTCCACTCGAAGCGGACCCAGCTGTAGGGCGTGAACTGGAAGGCAATCCTCTTCATCTTGCCCCTGGGGACCAGAGTGGCCAGCCTAAGGATACGGCCCAGGCCGCTGCCGGCCCAGGCCGCTGCCTCTGCACCCAGGGCTGCTCCACACCCTCTGCCCAGCCCCACCCCTCACAGGGGCTGCCCCTGCTCCAGGCACTCAGGCTGCAGGGGAGCCTCTATCCCGCTGTTCCCCAAGTCTTTGGTTTCCTTTTTCTTTTTTGGAGTCAGGTCTCGCTGTGTTACCCAGGCTGGTGTGAACTGGCTCAGGTGGTCCTCCCGCCTCGGGGACTTCACGTGCACCACCATGCCTGCTTTGACTCTTTTGAAAATCTCAAAGTAAAAACGACAGAACACAGCAACTGCTTCCTGAGGATGGCGGCAGGTCCAGGAGGCAGACACACCCCCACCGCCTCTGAGCTGCATGCAGTCAGGCCTGGGCCTCAGGCCCACAATCCCCCGCCCCTCCCTGGCTCCTGAGACGTACTTATAGGTTGGAATGTTCCAGAGGCCCTGCCACTTGTAGGTCTTCATGGACAGCCACTCCAGGGTCTTCATGCCGCAGTAGATGCCCAGCCCATTACAGACAAGCACATCCATGATCCACTGGGCAGGAACCAGGAGAGGTGATGCTGTGTGCCTGGGCTCGTCCAGAGGAGGCCAGGGCAACCTGGCCCCACCCCAGGACAGGCCCAGCACCCAGGACCCCACACCCATGTGGTCCCCCAGCCCACACGGGGACCCTTGCACCCTCATGGTCCATCAGTGCCCCCCTTTCCCTGCGCCCCCACGTGGTCCACCAGCCCACCCCGCCCGCCCTACCCACCCCCCGCACCTACGTGGTCCCACCAGCACTCGCTGAAGTTGGGCAGCTGGTGCTCCAGGCTGTACTCCAGGAACTCAAACATTACACTGATGATCATGCACATCCACCAGTCGCGGATCATGAGAGTCTGTGGGAGGCAGCCTGCACCGGTCATTCCATGTCCCTCGGCACAGGAGCTTGCCCGCTGGAGGGAGGCCTTCAGCCCCAGGTGGGCATGATGGGCGGGTCCCTCCAGCAGCCTCAGTCTTAGATTTTCAGCCCACACGGAGGCGCCCACACATCCAGCACTGAGCTCCCAAGGCAGGTGCAGCTGGAACACTTTAGGCTGCAAGCAGTGCACTGGCAGCCAGCCTACGCTGGGGCCTCTGGCCTTCCCTAGCTGCCCCCCGCCTCCCCCAACAATGCTGGCCACAGCGCAGACCCAGGTGGCAAGGTTAGGGGTCCCAGGGGTTTGCAGACCTTTCTGAAATACTCTGTAGCCAGGACTTGCCCACCCACACACTTGGATGTTCCACCCTGTGGCCAGAAGCTGCCAGCACACAGCTCAGGTCTGAGAGCCAGGGTGTGGGTGCCACGGGAGATCACTTACCTTCAGGTACCAGCCAATAAAGTGGGCAGGAACGAAGCCATCCAGCTTGTCCTGTGGGCAACATGGGCAGTCATCAGCACAGACCTCACCAGCAGCAGGTCATGGCCTGGGGCCAGCCCCCACCCAGCCCCAGAGGCCGACTCTACTAAGCAGCGCCTGCCAGCTCCAGAGCGTGAGACCAGGTCTGCCACACATGCTATTGTGGTTGCCTGTGGACCACACAGCCCCTGCTGGCGGAGCCCAGCCCTGGACGCGACGCCTTACCCAGATGTTGTGGAAGGGGTCGGTCTTGTTGTCTGGGTCGTAGATGAGGCAGTTCCCCCCGTAGTCCCTCTCTGGCAGCGGGACTCCCAATCTGGGGTCAACATACTTCAGAAACTGCCTGCCGTCCTGGACTGTCTGCAAGGCCAATGGGGACTCTGACAGCATGCTAGAAGAGTGGCCTGTGCCAGCGGCCTCCTGTCCCAGCAGTGGCTGGAGATCAGGGGAGCCTGAGCTCCAGTGAACTGGCAGAGAGCACAGCTGGCCCCATCTCTCACCTGTGCTCCCGGGTCTGGTCTGACAAGGTAGCACTGCCTGCTGCTCCTCCCCACCCTGTCCAGGGCCAGTAACCGCAGAAGCCACCCTGGCTGGGGACATTCTCTCTTCACACAGCATCAGGACAACAGCATTCCCAGACACAGATGCCAACGTTAGCCAGATACTGTTAGCCTTGAAACAAAGTGCTCTTTGGGGACCAAGCCCCAACAGAGCAGGCCCTGGAGCAGGCCACTGGCCAAGGACAAAGAGGTGGCTGAAGGCCTAAGATCAAATGATAAAACAGAAACCCAAGAAGGGTGGCAAAGCAGGAACACACAGGTGCCTGGCCACAGGACCTGGCTGTGCCTAGGACAGGAGGCACACAGGAGGAGGCTGTCCAGCACTGTGGACCCCTGATCCCTAGTCAGGGCCACGTGTCCCTGTGCTGTCCCAGGAGACACTGTGCAGCAGCCATGCTGTTAAGTCACATGCCTTGGGAACCAGCGGGACCAGGGGGCCAGACATGCCAAGGCAGGGCTCCGAAGACCAGCTCCAGTGACTGTCCAGCTGGGCCAGGGCCTTCCTTCCTTGAGGAAGACAGTTCCAAGCCCAGCTCAGTCTAGACTGATGGGGTGCCAGGCCACGGGCAAGGTCAGGGCCACTGTGCTCCCGTGGAAGCCCGAGACCCCCTGACTCCATGGCCCTCCCTCAGAGGGCAGGGTGTGGCAGGCAGGGAGGCTGGTGGGCCACAAGCTCAGCTGTGTTCACAGGTCTGTGTGTAGACACAGCCGCACACACACCTGTGCTCTGTAGCAGGCCTGGCCCTGTGAGGGGCAAACTCAGAGCCCTGACCCGTCTCCAGGACCATCCTCCCCCGAGGAAGGGCAACTCTAGGGGTGCCCAGGAAGCACCTGAAGTTCCCGCAGTAACAGCACTGGGAAGTGCTCCAGAAAGCAAAGCCAGAAACAAGGAATCCTTAGAGATGGGTGTGTGGAGCAACGGAGGAACAAGGGAGCTGCTGGTGGCCTAGAGTTTGCACAACAAAACGCAGTAGCATTAAGTGTGCCCAGAATCAAAGTGAGCACCTTTAGCTCATGCTGACATGAATAAGAGACTGGACAGTCAGCACAGGGTAGAGGAGGGACAAGTCTCCCCACACAGGACTCCTCTACCCGAGAGGAGCCGGGGCCCCACTTCACTTCATAGGGAGCAGTAGAGAGAGGGGAGGGGAGAAAAGCGGCTGCCCAGCCGGACACTGTGATACTGCGCCTGGTGGCCAGGGGCCACCACCCTGAGGGAATCATGGGACGTCTGAGGAGCCCAGGTGTGAGGTCAGAAGATGCTCCAGGTCTGTGTGTAGACACAGCCGCACACACACCTGTGCTCTGCAGCAGGCCTGGCCCGCACACACACCTGTGCTCTGCAGCAGCCCAGCACCTCCTGCAAATATGGGTGCAAAACCTTGATACAACACTGGGAGACCGAGTCCAGGACACAGAGACAAGGCCGCACACCGCGGGCAGGTGGGGGTCTGTGCCCAGAACACAAGGCCGGTTTGAAAGAAGACCACTTGATATAATGCTCCTATCGGTAAAGGGAAAGCCCCAGACCAACAGCTCACTTCACCAAAAACACACCCAGTGCAGCCACAGCATTCATGGATGAGTGCCTGGGCAGGGGAGTTGGAGTGCAGGCCACACTTGGCTAGGAGGACAGGGCTCCCGGGTCAGGAACAGGCAAAGGTCCACACTCTTGGCTCCTGCAGGCACCTGCTGCAGGAGCTCCATGCAGGGCAGTTAGCAAGAAGCGGGAGTCTAAGGCACCCAACTGAAGGAAGAGTGCGCCCATCTGTGTGCAGGCGACAGGAGCCAGAAGACAGGACCCCAGGATGCAGAGCTAACAAACGTGCTCAGTGGGCACGGTGCAAAGGCAAGCTGAGCTTGGACACCAGTTGTGAGCAGCCCGACGTGGAGCCGAGGAAATGCTTCCACTCAATATCATCGAAATTAACAAAATACCCGGGAATTCATTTCTTAAAATTTCTATTTTTAAAAAAATGAATTATTATTGTCTGTAGTCCTGGGGATTGAACCAGGGACTCACAATGCTATGCGAGCACTCTACCACTAAGTTACAACTCAAATCCTACAATTTTTTCCCCCACTGGCATCAGGGTCAAACCCAGGGGCACTTAGCCACTGAGTTACATCCCCAAAGCTTTTAGATATTTTATTTTGAAACAGCATTTTGCTGAGTTGCTTAGGGTATCACTAAGATGCTGAGCCTTGCTTTGAATTTGTGATCTCCTGCCTCGGCCTCCCAAATTGCTGGGATTACAGCCACTGCACTTGGCCTAAGGATACATTTAACAAAGAGTACAAACTTGAATTCCGAAAATTACAAACATGGTTGAAGACATTAAAAATGACCCAAATAACTGGAAAGACAAGCCACGTTGGTGGATCAAAAGATTAATAACCTTAAGATGATAATATTCTAAGACTGCTGTATGGCTTTGATGCAGTCCCTAGCAAGGCCTCACCTGCCGGGCAGGGAGTGGCTCAGCATCTGCCTGGCACGTGTGAGGCCCCGGGTTTCACCTCCTTGTCTGCTCTCCACAGAACTGGAAAGGTGGTCCTCCCATTCACTTGGACAACCCTAGAAGGGAGGGACGCAGCCATCCCCACGCCCTGTGCTGCTGACACCCGTCTGCCCTCTCAGAGCCGCCAGATCCGGAAAGGCAGGGAAAGTCTGGGGTGCCTGTGGGGTGGCCAGCTGTGTGTTGTGGGGTCCTGAGCAAGGCCTGGGGCAGCTGGACGGGGTTTGGCTCAGAGTCACGTCACACTGAGATATCACTGCATGCCAGCTAGGTGGCCCCACGTTCCCACAGATTCATTCTGCACAGCATGTAAGATGACACTGGAGGGTACTGGCACGTCTCGAAACGACAAATGCACACCACGGCCAGCCTGCAACCGGTGAGCACCCCTGCATATCTGCCAGAGATATGGGAACCTGTATCTCTTGAAGCAGCTTGATCCTGAGCCCCTTCGCCTGCACTGGTGGACAGGCTGTGCTCACCCACACAGTGGCATACCTCGGCCATGAATGGGGTGGTGCTGCCCACACCAGGTGGACCTCACAGGTATAGACAGGGCAGGGTGGAGAGACTGGCAAGGGGGCCTAGCTTGGGGGACATGGGACTGTCTTCTGTCCTGAGGTGTACAACCTGTGACATGCGCCATAGGCCTGCTCCAGACGGTCACCCTGGCCACACATGGATGGAGTCCTGGCCCTGCCAGCAGGAGAATGCTCCATGGAGGGAAGACGGCACCAAAAGCAGAAGGTGGCGGAGGGGCCTGGCGCACAGGCACGGCCACTGTCCCCCAAATCTGAGGCCTGTGCCCACACCTGGGTCCCTCTGGAGGTCCCCTGCAGCCTGCACCCACTTCTGTTGGGTCGCCTACCTGCCTGCAAGTGCTCTGGGGTGGCAAAGGGTGCAAAGCCTCCTCTGTCCTCTGTCCCCATAGTCTAGCCGACAAGAAAAGACACTTACCTGGAAGAGGATGAAGATGAGAAACAGCTCGTAGACCACACTAACACAGAGCCAAAACCGCCAGTAGGCTGTGGAGACGAGAAGCAGGTGCGTCAGGGACCAGCTCTGTGCTCCAGGCCCACCCAGCCCCATGGGGTCTGCGTGCAGCTTCTGTCCCTGCCAGGGGTTCATGAAGCAAGGTCAAACCCAGCCGAGTGAGCCACTGCTCTCTCCTTCACTGTCTTCCTGCTCGTCTCACCACAGCACCTCAGCAGGCCCATGGCTGCTGTCCTGCACCTGCTGGGCACACTTCCAACTGCACACTCAGTCCGCAGCAGGTTCTGACGACACACCTTGCATCCCACTAAAACACCTTTTAATTCCAACAGGCTTAGCTTCCTTGCAAATGTGGACTTTTTATTTATTGTGCATTTAAGGGGATCACTGCGTCAATGTGTTGATCTGATGATTATCCACAGACTTCTAGTGTTAAACCTGCTACCATGCAGGTCTTGGGGCCCACACTACAAGTGCTCTGCTGGGAGGATTTGTGCCATGACCTACATGGGAGAAAGAGATGGCCCTGCCCAGGAGGCAGCAGCAGGTGGATGCGGGAAACACCTGAGGGCTGAGGACGACTGTGGGCAGCAGGAAGCTGTGTGTGGAGGCTCTTGGGGACACCCAGGACACGTGTGTGGTCCAGGGAGAGGAGATGGACGAGTGGGCTGCGAGCACTTTGGCCTGGAGGGTGGGAGGAACCTGTGGGCTGCTGAGCTGCCATAGCTGCTTGAGGGCTTGTGGTGCAAGCAGTCCAGGCCCAGAGGCCACAGGAGGACCATACCCTCGGACCTTGAGGCCACATGCCAGAGATGCCTCATGTCACCAGGCCTTCTGTGACCTCCTCTCTGCCACTGTGTATCCCTGATTATCCATGATCCCCTTCTCAGGAGGGCCCAAGTCGGACCATCTCTGATCCCTTTAGTCTACCTTTAAATCCGTACCTAAACACCCAGCAGCCCTTCCACATCCCCTCCTCTCTCCTGGAATGACTCCTGGCGTTTGTGAGTCCCTGTCCCCACCCACTGGAATGTCCCACTGAGAAGGAAGAGCAGGGTGCCAGGCATCTGGCACTCCAGCTTCAGGAGTTGCTGTGGTGGCATGCAAGCAGGAGCCAGGAGGGGCTGCTGCAGCTTGGCGGTGGAGAGGCTTGGCACACACCAGGTCTTGGGTCCTACTCTCAGCACCACAGAAAACAAAAACCCACGAAGGGGAGGCTTCTCCAATGGGCCGGGACCGCTTCAGAGGGCCTCACTTGGAATTGCAGCCAATTAAAGTAGCTCCCCAG